AGCGTAACCATCAGCTCAATTAGCACCCATCACTAACAGCGGATGCGAAAGTTTTTTCGTGAAATGCTGAGGTAAACTGTGGGTGAACTGCGCAGATGACCTATCATGAAGCTACATTGTTTTGAGATGTAATACCAGATGTTCAAATTGTGCAGCATCTGCCGTCTCTGAAAGTTGATGCACAAATGTGCGAAGCATGTCACGCATCTGGTTCCCTAGTGATGAACTGCACAACAATGTCCCGAAGTGGGGGGTTGGCAGTCAGTTTTGGCAACATGCCCGCTTGCGCGAAGCCTGATATCCTTTCAGGAGTTGATCCAAAATTACGTGCTGGTGGCTATTTCAGCTGGATAAGAATGAGTACAAAATTCACGGCCAAAAGGTCGCGTAAACTGGGCATTTTGAAAACGTAGAACAAAATTTTAAGACCCAAACATATTACCAGACGTTGAAAAAGCAAGAGCTACTTGTTTCCTCTTTAGTCCAACGCATTCAATAAACGGGAAATATTTATTACAGATGTTTAGCTGTTTACTCATTCTTTGGACTGGCAGATACATTCCTTAAACTGGTTGTCTGCCAAGGGGTACAATAAGGTTCAAGGTGGCCAAAAATTTCAAAGAAACCAAAGTCAGAAGCTTTGAATCGAGGCTGTCTATTAGCTGAAATGTTTTCTAACCTCTTTCACTTCTCACTAACGTCTGGTTTTGACAGCACACAAGGTTTTACGCTTTGACAGAAGCATGTGGAGATTTGTGACTTCTGGACTTATCGAACAAAAATTTACACAATTTAGAGTCAGTAGATTTTTTACGTTCGTGGTTCTTTTTTATGCTTGTTTCCTATCTGTCAAGATCATCTTCTGACCAACATATTCTGTTGTTAAATTAATGGATTACTGCAATTATGTTCGCGATTTCTTAGTGCATAGACTTGATGAAATTTAATAAAAGAGAATATACCAGACACCACTTAGTATAGTTCGACTTTCTAGCCACTTTTTGCACCTTTCGGACAGGAAATGAAGGATCTGTATGCGTGTAAAAAAACTTGCTCACACCCCAGCAAAAAACCGCGAAAATATTGTGGCAGTGAACTAGTTTTCAACCGGACTACAGAATTAGATGAAGACGTTTGACTTGTGTTATAAATTAAGAAATTTCCGTGTACTTTAAAAATAATAATTTTTTTGATTCCATGTGTTTTTTTATTCTGAGGGTCTTCCAAATAACAAATTTTGTCGAGGGTTGGCCATAAATGCATAAGCCATAAGCATGGATATAACCAAGAGTAGCAAACGGGAGTCCACATACACTCACAAAACTACTGAAAATATTTTGACCACAGAATCTGCTTTCCTGAGGGTGAGCCAAAGGCCGGTATGCGCACAAAGACCTGGAACCTGCTTGCCCCATAAAAAGTATTGCCTGGATAATTCACTGGCGTCCCCAGCGCTCCTCAGCAATGGACATTGGGTGTAAACATGAATGTTGTGCTGAATTAGCCTTTCACACCCTGATTGTGGATTAGTTTATTCTATTAGCCGTCCATCCAAACAAAATCGGCCAAGTATCGCTAAATATTTGCTGCGTGGAAAGCAAGAGCTTGAATTCCAGAAGAGTAATACCTTTTTGGCTCCAGTCGTGCTAAAATAGTGTAATGATTGACACATTCATAAGTCTACCAACAAACAGACCAGATAGAAGCAATAAAATACCTCAGCTGTGCTGATTTGTTGAATGAGGAAATAAATATGGAAACTAACGGATAACCTGAGAGGCCGGAAATATGGTGCTGTACGATAGTTTGGCACAGAGGACATCCAACAGATTAGTGCCAGGTAATTTCAATGGAGTCAAATGTCGCCTGTATGGCTGATTACGTAAACGGCAGTTGGTTTTTTCATTGACTACTGATAAACATTTGTAAACGTTTGCACGCTAATTCGTATCTGACTGAATCAACGAACATTTACTGTATGTATTTTGCCGCGGAATTTTTGAGGTGCCCATTATATGTTTGTGGTTCTGTGCAAGTTTACAAAAAACAACGGCCCCAGCGGCGTCCATCCGCAAAAATGAACAGCTTTTAGTGCTATTGTCTTTTACTCGAAGTAATATCAGAAGGAGAATTACAATAACAATAGACAGTTATGTATAGTGGTTACCAGAGACACCAGTACAACTGAATAATACACAAAAGGAATGAGAGGCTTATCGAGTTCTTCGTTTGATAAGTTGTAGTAGATGTAGCTCTTGACGGAGTGTGTTGAGATCTGGCCTGTTTCGTGTCGTTTAATTCAAAACGACATCGAGCCCAATTGTTTGTCTTAGGTCAAAATTCCAATAATCTCGGTTAGTCGTGGGGCGAATGTTCATGACATAATCAAAACAGGAGTGAAAAAGTGGGTGTCCATGCGTTAAACAGATTATGTGAGTGGATGAAGGTAAACATTGATGAGATAGTAACCGAACTGTGAAAGCGGTTGAAACTAAACTTTGACGAGATGGCAACCAAACTCTGGTAAAGCGGTTGAAGATGAATGTTGACGGGATGGTAACAAACACGGCCTACTCGTACAATCCAAACAGCGTTATGATGAGGATGCGGAAAAAACTGGGCACACGGTGCCCGTATCGAGTTTTACGATGGCATACCTGGAGTGTGTTTAAGAAATAGTTTATCGTAGTTTATCAGTTTCTTGTCATAGATCTACCCTGCGGATATAAGCATTTACATGGTTACTTTAGACAAACGACCTCTGCTACTCACCAGTACTGCTTGATTCTGATAGAATTGGCTAACTATGCCCGTGCTTCAGTCAATGGTGTGAGTTGCCGTGAACCATGGCACACACCCTGAAGATTCTCACTAGTCGCGTGGACCATCATGAGTTACGCGCAATATCTCAGCCATAGTTAGAAAAAAGTATGCCCATCCAACGCTCATATCGACTTAAGACAACGTGGTCGTAAGATGGCGAAATCCACGTTCGTGTTAAATTGGACGCGCGACGACAAGGTCAAAAAGCGGTTTACGTTGAGGTCAAACACAAGAGGGGTAGTATAGTCGCAAAACAGATAACAAGACGAGTAATCCTGGTATGCAAAATAAGAGTAAAAGACAAATTTGGCCTGGCGATAAAGCAATACTTGCGTAAGTCGTTTCTATTAGATAATGATCAGTCGTGCTCTTTTTCAAGAAGTCGAGCTGAACTTTGGTCATTTTTGGTAACAGCTGCTGACTACTGATGACGGACTTTTCATAAGAGCTTTCACGATGTGCTTGTGATTATATTTGCCAAGTATTTTCAATAAACCTTTGTTTTCGGGAGAAATGGATCTGAGTCAAGTCAGCCCAGCTCATCTGTAACAAAGTAAGATCACACGGGGAAACTTCCATCCTACTTTGGTAATATTGTTTGTGTACAAAATCTAATTTAGGGGCAATATGTTTGCAAATACTAATAAGATAGCGGACTCACCATAAAATATATATTGCCGAGCACGAAAACCAGTAGCAAACACAAAATCCTGATAATAATATTTCACAGTATCTAGGCAACACAAATATGTCTTGAAACCCGGTTTAACGGCACGCACGAATGAAGCGGATAGTCATCAGTTCTAATGCAGGACCTAGTTACTTTTCGAAGCATTCGGTTAAACTTGACTTCCATTTAAAACATGAAGATTTCGAATTCAAAGCAGTCTAGAAACCTTAATAGGGGTTAACTATGCAAGCATAGAAAGATAATTTACGTAAACTTTTGATTATCAGTCTCACGATGTTGACCATTTCACATACGTGCGCACAACTGCCAGCCGTGTTATATGAGGACAATTTAATCGTTTGACTGTGGACAGCATCGAAATGGCTCTGCCAATGACTTTCTTTGCTACGAGGTGACTGATCTTGAAAGGGAGAGTAAAATAAACCCAGAGGATTCAAGTGCTGGTAGTCTGTCTAGAAGAGAGAACGTTTTTCCAGAAGCCAAGAGGTATGTGACTGCTTGGGCATTGACTAAGTATGGGGTGTTTGCATGCATCCGGAACGCTATTTCAGTCTCCCCACACAGTGTCAGTTTACTCACATTTGATACGGTCTAAACCGAGGGACTTGCCTAACTCAAGCTCTGATCTGTAAGTACGACGCTTTGTACTTGCAAGGTAAGCACATACGCGAAATTGCTGAGCTTCTTCCAGATTCGCAGTCCCCACAGAGTGCATCCGAAGTAATAAAGATATCAACGAGACCTATGCGGGCAGCAATGCTTTTTGTATTTAGAAGAACTTGTTGTATCTTTACAAAGTGAGTGTAGGCCTACCAAATAAACGATGATGGGCAACTCCAGAAACGGACCTGTCACGGACACATTTATTTGTGAGAACCAGCATCTGTCTGAACTTTCAAGTCTTGATTACGCATCCATCAATGCTTTGATATTCTGCTACAATTATGTTGCTATGTATTTTGCAATCCGTGAGTAGACGAAATTATGCCGCACCATATTTTCATAAATACCTATCCCGCAACACCCCAAAACTGCAACCAAAAAGTTACTCAGTAGGTTCAAGCGTGTGACACGTTACCTGACTGGCGGATTAGTCGAACTTTTTCCAGATTCGCAGTCCCCACAGAGTGTACCTGAAGCAATAAAGATATCAACGAGACCGAACACGCCTATGCGGGGCAGCAATGCTTTTTGTATTTAGAAGAACTTGTTGTCTCTTTACAAAGTGAGTGTGGGCCTACCAAATAAACGATGATGGGCAACTCCAGAAACTGACCTGTCACGGACACATTTATTTATGAGAACCAGCATCTGTCTGAACTTTCAAGTCTTGATTACGCATCCTTCAATGCTTTGATATTCTGCTACAATTATGTCGCTATATATTTTGCAATACGTGAGTAGACGAAATTATGCCGCACCATATTTTCATAAATACTTATCCCGCAACACCCCAAAACTGCAACCAAAAAGTTACTCAGTAGGTTCAAGCGTGTGACACGTTACCTGACTGGCGGATTAGTCGATCGTCACAACCAGGACAGGTACTGGGTCGCCGTTCGATGAGTCGGGCACGGCACACCAATCGCTCAGGTGTGAACACGTTCGCCCGTTCAGACGTGAAAATTGAGAGTATTGCTTACACGCTCGTCACGCAAGGCAGATCAGATGGGTTCAAATCCCGGCATGGCTATTGGATGTGAACTGCTGATGAGCTCTGATAAGACCGGAGTTCGAATCGAGTGTCTCCCTTTGGTGTGAAAAATCACCGGAATAATTTAGCCCGAATAGGAGAACGACCGTTTAAAATAGAATGGTGTGACTATGAACAAAATACCTACCTCGCAAAACCCCAGAACGGAAACCTAGAAATATATCAGAATAATTTGTCTGATTCCCAAATTTTTTGATTGTCCAAAATATTTCCGGATTTTGGTTCCCATGCAAATTCCATGAACTATCATGAGTATTGTATGCTATTTTCAAATACAGTGGGTCTTCTTTTTTCCCAATGGGGTGGAATAAATTCAATGGAGCCAGATAGCATTGGACATTTATTCTAACCTGA